GGAGGGGGGAGCGAGAATCAGCAACAAAAATTAAAGAAAAAACAACAACTAATCAATTAAACTATCAAATACAACAAATACATATGTATTCATTTCTGTTAATATTCTTTAACTGTTGTGATATCTTTGTACTAACTTTCTCACATTCTCATTGTCAGTGTTGACTGATATAAATAAGATTATTTTCATGGTTCCAGAACAAAGGACATGCGACATTAACAACAAAACTAAACAAAAAACAACAACAAAACAACCCCTCCCTCCACAGAAAAAAACAAAATAAAGAAACAAAGATAAAACCCCAACAAATCAACAACCCCCAAAAAACCAAACAACCCCCAACAAAAGAAAGAAAGAAAGATAAAACCCCAGCTGACCAGACCATGTGAAACTCCACCACTCACCACAGCCAATGACTCTTGACTGGCTCTCAAAGACGCACTTCTCTGTAAAGGCTGTTTACTCCGTGAAGCTCTCACAGAGACAGGTGGCTTTCCAGAATTTTCTGCAACAGATTCTTTGGCTCGAGCAGATGAGACGGTATTTTGGGCACTCGATTTCGCACCGGATTTATCGTGCGAGTTTTGTTTTGCTGCGGAGACTTGCTTTCTGTCACCAACCTCGAGGTCGGCCCGAGATGTGGATGAGTTCGATCCGACGTCTTGCTGATGGTCAGTAGCCACGCCAGAGTTGAGTTCAGCCGACCGGGCATGGAACGGGGATGAAGAACTTTTCAGCTTGAGGAGTATACTTCGGTCGCCGTCTGTCAGCGACATGGCGCCACTGTGTGGCTGCTCCTTCAGTTTGTGAGTTACACTTCTCAGCGTGGAGTTCATGGACGACGTCGTGTTGGACAGAATCTCCTCGATGGCCTCGTCAATCTCTTCCTCAGCGGCATCGCGTTTCTCGTCATCTTTCGTTTCCGAAAAAGTTCTCTCCCTTCTAGGCCTCTGAACATTCAGGCCCTCTTTTAAACTCTGCGTGCGGCGTATGGTTTTGCCAGAAGCAGTGTACTCGTAATGGATTGCATCATTTCTTACAGTTTTTTCTTCAATACCCGAGCTTCGAGACTTTTCCTTGATGTACCTGGATTTGTTAGCCGACCTCTTTTTCTCTTTCTCTCTTTCATGATGGTCTAAACGACTCGAAGTTTCCCCTAAAAGCTCCGCCAGCTGACTATCTTTAACGGTCTTGTCAAATTCTGTGATGGCTTCAGCGGTCTTCGACAGCATGGAGACTTCTGGGATAGGCGTCAATTTTCCCATCAAGATCTCCCTCTGAATGTCGTTGTTATGCTGCGAGCCCACGTGGGTCATGTCACACAAGACGTCCTCCGACTCTCCGATATGTTCCAGCCCAAAGTGGAGCTCAGTTTCCCCCCGGGCGTGCGCCTGGTTATGGCTGTGCTGAGTCATGTCGAGGTTCATCGGGGGGAACCCGTCGTCCGTGACGATGGGGAGCTTCAGATCAAGTTGCGACTCCTGCCTTCGTTTCATCTCGAGAAATCTCGGGGAGTTGAGAGTGATCTTCTCTTTGAAAGCTTCCAACATGTGCTTGTTGAGGAGGTTGTCGTGTGATCGGCCGGCTGTGACCGGACCGTCCGTAGCTCGAGAATCTTCTTCGTTCGACCACTCGGAATCGCTGGAGTGGAGGTCAATCTCATCATTGACCTTCACGTCAGACTTGTCGATACAAGATGTGGACAGCTGCCATCCAATCCCAGATATCAAGGCCACGTCTGGCTTCTGTGCCTCTGATGAAATTTCAGTGGCTGTTGTCTCTGGCTGCTTCTTTTTCTTCCCAGAAATCCCTCTACCTCGCTTACAACTTTTCGGTCGAGCCTCTTTCTCTGATTTCGAATCTTTTCCTCTGGTCCCAAGTTTTTTACCAGCCGAGTTTTGCCTCGATCCCCCGGACGTTGGCCTCTTGTTTGATGAAGAATTTATGCTCGACTTTTTGGAAGTTTTGTTTGAACCCCCTGTGTTCCCTCTTGGCACCTTCTTCATCTTAACAACCGCGTCCTTGCTCGAGTTTTCCACGGTCTTAATATGAGCCTGGAGAAAGTTTTCAAAAGGATTCACGATAAGGGGCGTGGATATCGCTTGAGCATTATGGTGGTAGGTGCTAGAAGTAACGTCTGCTGTTTCCGCTATAGACTGTGGTGAGGATGGAGTTGTTGTGTGTGACAAAAACTTGATCTTCACGAGGGGCTCATTTTTGCGTGGAGAGAGGATAATATTGGGGTCTATGGGGGACGTTGTGATGACCGATTTTTCTTCTGTTTTTGACTGGTGCGACTGTGACTGCGGATCTGGGTTTATAGCGGTGTTTGGGTTTGGTTTTAGCTGTTGCTTTGACGGAGCCGAGCCCGAGGACTCTTTTGGTTTTTGTTGGCTTTGGGCTTGTTGGGTAGAGTCAACCGATTTTGAGACTGATTGCTTGTTTTGCGTTGGTAAAACAGAACTCTTTTCTTTCTGCCTTGTTCCAGAAGCTGGCAAACTAGGCTGAGCTTCTTTAACAGCTTGGCCAGCTTTGTTTTGCTCGTAGCCTCTGTTTGACATACTGAACTGAACAGATGATTTATTTTTAGAAGCACTGGCATTTGTTCGTGATGACGACGTTTCACTCGTGCTAGGTGGGTTCACCTTAGTCACCATGGACGACTTGTTGTTTCTTCCTATGAGAGAATCCTGACTACTTCGCACTTTGTTGGCCGAATTTTCCAGAGGTGATTTCGCTTTTGTCTGCTGAGAGGTCAAAGCTGAATTCTTCGTCTGATGAGTGAGAATAGTTTTCTCTAAAGACGCTGCTTTATTCACAGATCTCACTCTGGCTGACTCACAACCTTTGTTTACCACAGGCTCTTTAGCAGCAGCAGCCTTATTTGATAATTTGGCTTTTACGGATTCGGTTTTCGAATTTTCTGGCAAGCCCTCTCTCACGGATGGACTGTTCAGTTGAGCAGTTTCTTTAGCTTTCTGTTTGGCGATAGCTGCCCTCTCCTCTTGCCTCTGTTTGCTGGCACTGCCTTTCCTCTCCGACTCCTCTGTAACGACAAACATTGCACCACGTGACCCCGACTCTTTCGGCCTCAGATTTGGAGTAGACTTTGATGAGACCATGCCACCAGGTCTTGAGTGAGTATTTTTCCCGTAAGCACCGGCATCCTTTCTCCCTATAGAAGCTGCAGTGTTTGAAGCAACAGGATCTTCCTGTGAGTTGTCCGCTGTGGATTCCTGAGAAGATTCCAGAACCTGGGTCACAAACGCCGGCTTAGCGGACAACGGCGGACGCCCGGGCTGAGGTGGCATTGACTGCATGTCTGAGAATGTCTGCTCTCTCTCAGTGAGGGATGCGTCTTCCCGCCCTTGATCCCTGGCCACTCCCGTATCATTGCAGGACGTCTGCGGTCTTTTGTCCGACTCCCCAGCAGGAGCGGTGCCCGATGACCTTTGAGACAGAGGGCCCGAATAACTTTTGGAGGTCAAGGACGACTTCCGAGCTGACCTTTGGGACGGGGTACCCTGCTGTGGATTCTGAACCGACTTATTCAAAGCTAGAGCTGCCCTGCTTTTTCCACTAGAGATTTTGGAGGCTTGTGAGCTCTGTTTTGTCTTTTCTGAAGGCTCCGTGTCAAAAATGAAGTCTTTGTCCCAGTTTTCCATTTCCGTGCTCTGAACAACTCGGATCTTCCCACTGAAAGGGGCAACTGGCTTTTGGGCTGAAGATTTAGCAGCGTTTAAAGTTTGAGCATTATCATTTGGAACACTGGCTTTACTTTTCTCTAGTACACTTCTTGAACCGGCATTCTGAGAGCTAGTTTCATTTGAGACAGATTTCTTCAAGGAGTTTTCCCTTGAAGTATTTTCATTAGAGACGGGCTCTTTTGGCGAAGTGTCCTTGGAAGCAGACGGTTGCTTCTTCCTGGAGGAACCCTGTGGCAAGCAAAAGCGTTGAGACAGAGGTTCGTCGTATGACGTCTGAGGGGAGGAAAAACGAGGGGACACGTTGTCCAAACTTTGACTCTTGCGCATTAGACTCGTCTGATCAGGAGTGCCCAGTGTAGAGCCCGACCCATCCTGCAAAACATTCGAGTTCTCATCTGAAGATAAACCTTTTGCTGCGTGTTTCAACGCTGAACTGGGGCCAATCCTCAAAACACGGGTCCTAGAGTTCAAAGCAGAATTTTCCGATTTACGCCTCACACGCTGCGACTGCTCTTTTATCACAGGTATACAGTTCTCACTGTCTTTACTGACAACAAAGTTTTGGTTTTTATCAACCGGAGAGTTTTTCGCTGCCCCCGAGGCATGCAGCTCCTGTAGCGTGGAGAGACTCGGGTCCCGTTTGAGAGATCTGCCCGGAGAGTGCGGCACTGACGGTTGATCCCGCGGGGAGGAGGAAGACAAACTGCTGCCGCTGGAGGACGTCGGGTAACTCCCAGAATGCATCTCTCTCGGCCGGCTCTCCTCCAGTATGAATTCCTCCTTGAAGATGGATCGAGATCTCAGGAGCTCGAAGGGGGAGTCCAGTCTGCTGAAGTCTTTGTATCCCTGGGAACACAGAAAAAAACATTTCTACGTTAAGAGTGATTTGTGAGATGTGCTAACAAAATGAGTTACTTCTGGCAATCCATGAATGGAGATATCAGCCGAAAATCAACACAAGTGTCATATTTGTAGACTCTAAGTCAATGCCATTCTCTTCAAGTTTAACATGTCTTTTATCATTTCATACTGATAAATTGTAAAACTTCAACCTATAAATTTGATGATTCTATTTCCATCGGTCTAAAATCTGAGAAAGCCCTCATTTTGTCAGCACACTTCACATTTTAGTTTTAGTTTTACAGCACCTGCAACATAAGTAGATCATATAAGTGATGAAGATTAGTGATGTTACTAGAGAGCAACATACAAAGAAAAACAGGAGGAGAGATAAGGACAATAGATGTTTGAAAAGAAAGAAGGAGCAAACCACGCCAGAGCACCAATAAACAATTGTGAAGTGTGCCGACAAAAGGAGGGACTTCTCAGATTCAAGCCTTAAGGAAATAGATAAATCACGCTTATTGGTGAAGTTTTTACATTTTATAAGTATGAAATTATAAAAGAAAGGTTATAGTTAAAGAACGTGGCATCAATTGAAAATCTACAAGTTTGACCCTAATGTCGATTTTTGGCCAATATTTCCATTTGTGGATTGCGAGAAGTAACTCATTTTGTTAGTATGCCTCACAACTCAAAGCGAAGAGAGTAACGGAAGGAAAAGAAAAAAACGATGCATGTAAAATAAACGATGACATTGTAGTCAAAATTGTCAGAAACTGTCATATACCATTGAAGAGAAAAGTAATTGCCTTAGAGAGGTGGACACCTTGGACAGAGTCATTGTAATATACAACAACAAAAAAACGCAACAGGGATAGTGGGAAAAGGCTAATTGTACAGGTGGTCAGTGTAGCAGGCTCGACTAATTCCACGGGCACCTTCGAAATCATTACCTTTCAAATTTCAACTAGAATCATTACACTGCTGTTAATTTTCTACAGTTCAATTAACGCAACTTGAATTATTTATAACATGGACAGTGAGGAATACAATTCAATAAAAAGACAAATTTAGTCAATAAAAATTCTTTTCCAAATAGGAATCGAACTTATTTTGATAAAGGCATTTTATTTCACCCAAACATAAAAACCAAGGTAAATGGAACGGACTGCCCAAGAGTAGAGCACAAAAAGTTGTGGCGTCGGTGGCCTAGTGGTTAGGCTCTTGGACTCGCAACCGTAAGGTCGTGGGTTAGAATTCCGTCAGGGGCCCCAATGTTGTGTCCTTGGGAAAGGCACTTTGCACAAATTTTCCTCACTTCACCCAGGTGAAAATGGGTACCCAGCTATAGACAGTGAACGATCTTGTCAGTTTGATAGTGTTTGAGCGCGTGAAACCCGCAGCTTGCACTGTATGCTTCCGCGGAAGCTGAGAATGTTTCTGAGTGTTCTCAGAGTGTCTGCTGGGGTAGTAATAGTTGTAAAGCGCATAGAGCATGCTTTTGAGCATGGATACACGCTATATAAATGCAATTATTATTATTATTATCATTGTTATTATTATTATTATTATTATAAAAAGTTACACTAACTGAGGAGAAAGTAAAGTCCAGAAAAGAAACAGAAAATACACAGAGCAGGTTAGCCACAACTAATATAGGGTGGAACAGAAGACAAATGCTGAGAATGATAGCTGTTTGCCCAACCTTCTTTCGCCGAAAAAAAAAAGGAAATAAGTGGGAAAAAAATGGAAAAAAAGCACCCCTGGTGTACGAGAATAGGGTAAAGTATATTTGTACATAAAGGAGAAAATGAGTACAGCTGTACATAAAAAAAATGACCCCTTAACTCCTTATCTACGGCAGACCATTCTAAGCGGCTCGCGGTTGGAACCGCTGTGCTGGTAAGCCACGAGCACAGGCTCGGGACCATTCATTTACGACGACATTCGACGTCAAATTACTTTTCAGCAACTGCCGAAAAACAGGTATATTTTATAAGCATTCCATTCATTATGTGAAGAGCTACCAAAATAAGTTCACTTCTTTTGATTTAATGACCAATTTATTGACGTATACGTTAATTTTAGATTTTGTATAAAAAAAGGGCCCTGGCATAGTGGGTTGACCCCCCCCCCCCCCCCCCCCCCCCCGAGGTAAAGAGTTAAAGTACATCTCAACTGCTAAGTGTAAGACCCTATTATATATCACTTTTATAAATGGCATGAGGCAGAGTTTTACACTAAGATAAGATAAGATAAGATAGAATAGGGTAGGGTAAGACAAGATAGGATAAGATAAAATAAGATAATTCATTATGGTCCCAGACGAAAATTTTCCTTGGCTGTACCGGACCGTAAAAACACATGCAGGTATACATAAAAATTAAATTATATATATTACTCTCATTAAAATTCAATAAGAAAAGAAAGGTAAAGCTGTCAGTCTGTAAATATATGAAATGATCAGGTTAAGTACTCACCTTTGAGTCAAGCGGTGAGGACGACTGAGTGATGAAAGTCACAGGCTCCGGAGCCGTTGAGGAGAGCTTCTGACTAGACTTCGGGGTACCGCCCTCAACCTCCGAGTTTCTTTGCTCTGTGAGAAAAACATGTTAAAAAGAGAAAAGATTAAATCTTTTTCCTTCACTGTTGTTCATTTCAGATTTTTATCACTTGAAAAAAAGAAAATGTTTTTCTTTCCAATTTTTATACCAAGGATTTCTTATTTTTCACCAAACTAAAATGTGGTAAATTCCTCAGAAAGATACATGTATGTAGATGTGGGAAACAAACAAATAGCACATCTTTACGTTAAAGAAATTTTGAGCCAAGCGATGATGTGATGTTGCTGTTTATGTTTTACAGTCTCATTGACACAACTTACATCATTTATAACTTGTTTTAAAGTGTCATGAGATATCTTAAATAAATAGAAATCAAGAATTTCAAGTCCAAGTCGATTGTGGCAGCTTATGTTCATATAGAGAAATTCTATTTTGGAAGCGTCCGGCGGCAATAACCCTGCTCACCATCCAATGCTGGGAGCATCCCATACCAGTGACAGCTGTTTCATTTCATTTATGCCGCAGTGTCAGTTTTAGTCTTACTTTCAAAAGCTACTGTACTTCAACCAATTTCACAGACAATTTTCTCCAGTTTTGAACAGCAATATATTTAGAAACGTTCCATAAATCGAGTCCATGATTTGTAAAAGCTTGTATGTGGTTGTGCAACTGTTTACTTACGATGCGGGCTGGGCAGGAAGTGGTCACATGACACGGCTAGGTCGGCCATGTTGGGCATCGGAGGGTCAGACCCTGACCTTCGGTGTCTGTTCTTTGACCTTTTTCTGTCAAACATAAGAGAAGAAGAAATTGTGAGATTATTGTTTGTCTTTTTGTTTGTTTGAGTAAAGAGAAGAACATCGACACAATAATGGTCATTCAGAGCTGGGGAAAAGTAAAACACACAGACAGAAACAACAGAGAGAAACCTACCAGTTGCACCCTCCAACCACCCACATGGTGAGATTTTTAAAAATGAATAAAAACATAGTTATAAAAAAAAGACTCACAGTATTGAGTGACTATATAAAGATATAGTGAAAGCAATTGATAAAAAAATATTTCCAGTGGTAAGTAAATATATAATCATAAAGCGATCAGAAAAGACTCGCCTAAAAAAGAAGAGTAAATTTATACAAGCAATAAAGTGATATCTTGGAACAATGTAAATCAATTACAGAAGGGCTTTTTTCCATTGCTTCCTCTTAGAACCACTGAAATAAAGGTTCAGGACTGAATTAGGCTTCTGAAAAATAAACAAAGTACCAAACAAAAACAAAAATATCACCAATGAAACTTTCTTTTCGAGACAGAAGAAAGTCCGAGAACCATACTTCCTTGTCAAATCCAGAATCCACACTGACTTATATTAATTTGATTAGTAGCAATGCAGAAAAAAGAAATTGAGCCCCCCAGATCATGTGTAATTACCGTGGTCTGCTGGAGACTGGGGTTCGGATCTCGTCCAGTCTCCCTTCATCCGCTGGCCAGGGGGAGGAGAGAGGCATGCTTTGTCTGCCCACACCTGCAACCACAAAGGAAAACAAGCCTGAGTCATGAGGTAGAAAATGTCACATCCAAAATGAGGAATTCATTTGGTTTCATACATGTGTGAGGCATCGTAGTGAAATCAGGCACTCGTCAAAATAATAAAATCGAGGAAATTGGCATTTTTCCTCCGACTTGACAATTTTTATCAAATTTTCTTATTTTTTGGCTCAGAACCTTTTACGTCTATTTAAAAATACTTTTCTGAGTGGATTTTTTCTGAAAAATAATTATAAACACAAAAAAACATACCTCTCTTAGTTTCTAAGGACTCTCAAGCTATGGAAATCACCAAACTTAGGCTACCATTTTTTCGCAAATTTTACTTCAGAAACCAGGTGAACTCCACCTCCTTCAATCACAAATATGTCGCCTCCTATTCAAGACAGGATTGTTACTTTTTACATTGAAAACAATACAGAAGAACAAGCTTTTATATAATACCAATTACCAATAACTCCACATGCCCAAATCTTGACGAGTGCCTGATTACTGTGACACATATACACATACTGTACGTTAAGTCTTTTATCAGTCAACAACACATCCGGGGTATACATCCAGACAAATTTTGTTGGCAAGTCGCTGAATGTACAAAGCTCAAATAGCAATATTTTTAAGAGAGGGAAAAAACTGGGGGGGGGGGGGGGGGGTTCTTTTCACAAAGCACCTACAAAATGGGGCTTTTTTATTTTGTCTTTTGAGTTTTTTTTGCCATTTTCTTTAACATTTAGAATTTAAACTTCTGCAAAATATTTCTTGAGTACATGCAACTGACACCATATATTTTTAAAAAACTGCAATTTTTCCTTTAAAATCAAAATTTTGGACTTGGAACATCAGTCCAGGTGGCCAATGGTTGATGATGCGGTAATGACTGCGGAAAAGTTCTCATACTGGTAAAAAGTAAAATTCTGAAGACTGTCAATTTTAAGATAATATATTCATTAAAAGATTTTAAATATGACAGTCAGGATTTTCCACTCCCACGTTCCATGTAAAAATAAACACAATAAAAGATAATGATAATATTGACGATAAATCTAATTTATGTTACACACTTTTATCTAAAAAGAGACACCAAAGATCGTACATAACAAGATAGTTCACTGAGCCAAAAATATGTCCACGGAATTCCATGCATTGCTTCAGATGGTGCTGCAGTCTTTGTTTTGAAGCTCTCTTTCATTTCTCCAGAAGAAAAATAGGAATAGCACAGTTTGTTAGTTTCATTTTTATTGTTTTTCACACAAGTAGGGTAACTCTGATCACGAAGTTCGCTCTTTTCCGAAGAGGGCACCACCGAATTTTGAAGACACTTTTTTAATTGACTCAAAGAGAGGAGTGAACTATCTTGTTATAAACGATCTTTGGAGACACTCAATGTGCAACGCAATAGAAAAAAAAATCACATCTATGTCCAAACTACATCAATGGTGCAGTGGTTAGGCACTTTGCTGTCCTACACAGAACACTGACCCAGGTTCCATTCCCATTTGAGGAAAACTTTTATCGAGTATCTCCGGTCTTTTTCTTGGTACGTTAAATCTCTCTCAGCCTGGGCGGACCCTGACAGAAAGGTCAAAGCCCGTCTCCTAAAAAATCTAAACAGTTTTGACAGAGGTGAAAACATGGGTAAAAGTTAGTCACAACCATTTTTCCTGACACTGAAAACTTTCAAACTCATAGCATCTCAAGAGGCTTTGCTTGAAAAGATTATCAAATCACCCCTGTAATGTCGATTTATGCCCAAACTCGAGCAGTGGAGTTAAAAAGTCTGACTTTTTTTAGACAGTTGTCAGGTAAACGAAAGAAACGCATGCTTCATGATATGGACGCTAGTCCAGTCAAGGACGGCCGTCACCGGCTACCGGCACCATGATGCCGGTTGGCTTAGTCTTGCCGGAATTTCCGGCCACAGCCGGCAAACTTTTATCCATGGTGTGAAAAGCACCTATATTTTTTTAGACGTTCAAATTTCAAACACATGCACAACTGAGAAAACACAAGCAGGCGTACCCAGCTTTATGTCGGACATAGAGCGACCTCGAGACATCAGCTGGTGACGGGCGTCCTCCAGCGACGTGAGAACACTGTCTGCTGATAACCTTGGGCTCTCGCGGTCATGACCTTGAGACTGGGAGTACTCTGGGCTGGTGCTGCGACCGATCTGAGGCAGGATCTTACTGCGGGTGGTCCCAAGCATACGAGTGCTCTCTCTGTGAACAAGCAGCAGTTTGTGTGACTTTTTTCGTGACTTTGTGACTTTGTGTGACTTTGTGTTGTGACTTTGCGGGACTTTGTGTGACTTTGTGTTGTGACTTGGCGTGACTTCGTATGAATGCCACTGTGAGCATTGAGGGGTGGGGGGGACACATTTCTAAAGAAAAACTTTTAAGAAAAAGATGCAAATTTTGTTCATAATATAGGAGGATCCTATGGATGACAAATCTCTTTGGAGAGGAGGAAGGGAAGGAGCATGGGGATGAGGGGAACAAAGAGGAGGAGGAGGAGGAGAAGATGTACTTATGAGGAGGCTGCCTTGACGAGAAAGAGAAGGAAGAGGTGGTGGATGCCTCGGTGAGGATGTGTAGGAGGAGAAGGAGGTGGAGGGGGATGCGTTAGGGAGGTAGAGGGAGAGTAGGAGGACAAGGAGGGAAGTGGAGGGTGAGGAATCAATGTCGTTATTTGTTTAGGGAGGGGGAAGGAGGAAGAGACAAGTCACCTTCAACTGACCTAATTCTCCATACAACAGCGCATAAAATGAGCATCTGAGAGTTTGGACACAAAAAAATTCTGTCCAGGTTTTTTTATTTTTGTTTAAAAATGAATTGTGGTTTGAACAGTAACATTTCTGTTAACAAAAAACTAAAACATATTTTTAAATCCAGTCAAAAATCCACTTACCTTTGTAAAACAGGATGCGCGGCTTTTAAAGCTTCT